TGGAATGGGTTTGAATATGCAAGTTTGGAGAGAAGGGAGAGTACATAGTTTTCAACTTTGTTGGCTTGAGCATTTATGATTAACGATGTAGGTCCCTTTCCATCAGTGAGTGCGACTTCCCTTGACATCAAGACAGAATTTCTCCAAGAATGACATCAAGGAGACTAGAAAAGTTATAATCAGTGAGAATTGGGAAACCTCTCTAATAGTTGGAGCCATACCTAACATAAAGAGAGATGGTAGTGATTGTTGAAGGTCAATCATTTCAGAGTCAGGACATCGCTACAGGAGTTCCTCAGCGTCGCTGTCTGGAACCAGTCGTCATTATTTACTCCAGCAATGAGCCCTCTTTCATCCGTAATAATGAAAGTGAAGAGCAATTGGTGCCATTTGCAACTCCACAGTCACAAAGCAGTCTGTAACCACCTACAGCTGGACCTAAAAACATTCAGTCTTGCAAGTGGCAAGGAACATTTATTCCACACAAGTGCCAGACAATGACCATCTCCAACAAGAGAAAGTCCAAACATCGCACTTGAGATTTAACAGCAATACCACCAATGAAATTCTTTCCATCAACTTCCTGGGTATGCCTTTGACCAGAAACTTAACTGGATGAGCCATATAAATGCAGTGGCTTTAAGAGCAGTTCAGAGGCTGACAATTCCACAGTATTTAGCTCACCTCCTGAATCCTCAAAGCCTGTCCGCCATCTACTAGGGACAATTTAGGAATGTGATCAGAATACTCTCGGCTTGCCTGCGTGAGTGCTCCTCCACCAACAAGTAGCAATCTATGACAACATAACCCATTTGATCAGCTGCCAATCTACCGCTTTCCACATTTGCTGCCTCCATTTTGATGCAGAGTCTGTAACAAGTGTAGGACCTTGCCAGGACCCCTTTGGTACCTTTCAAACCGATTAGTTCTGCCTCTTAGAAAAATAATTGCAGCATAAAGCTTGGGAATACCTGTAGATTTCCCTCTTAAGTCACACACCATTCTGACTATTGCTTTTTCCTCACTGTTGCTAATTCAAAATGCACGAGCCCTTTCCTTAAAGCACTGTGAGTGTATTTTATCCTTACCTGGTCTGGCCTACGTGTGACTCCACACACACAGCAATGTGGTTGAATCTTAACAGCGCTTTGTGACACACTGTCTATAACAGTTGAAGGCGGCAGCTGACCACCACCCCTGCTCTCTGCTAGGATTTTTTCTGGGAAGCTTGTTCCAATCAAATCCTTTGAAATCCAGATGCAGGACAAGTTAAAATTTGAGAATAGTTTTGTTTCTCTTTCCTCCTCCCCCATTCATATGCTTAATTCACATCAGGTTGCATAAAGATGAGTCCTTTCAAATGTGTCCTTAATAGCCATCACTTTGACTATTGTGGAATTGAAATCTATTATTTGGGAGGTGGCAGCATAGCGGTAATGTCACTGAATTAGTAATTGTCCAGAATCCCAGGCTAAAGTTCTGGGGATAAAAACAGGAAATGTTATAGAAATTTGGCAGGTTTGGCAGCACCTTTGGAGAGAGAAACAGAATTAACATTTTGACCTCAATATGACACTTCTTTACAACTTTAACGTTCTGGGGAGTTGTTTCAGACCCCGTCATGGTAGATGGTGAAATTTGAATTCAGTAGAAAAATCTGGAAGTTGAAACAAAAGCTAGCCGAATGCTGTCCATATAACCACTGTCAATTGTTGCAAAATCCCACCTTGTTCAGTAATGTCCTTTTTTAGAGAAGGAAATCTGTTATCCTTACCTGGTACAGTCTACATGTGACTCCACAGCAATTTGGTTGACTCTTACTTGCCCTCTAGGCATGGGCAGGAAATGCTGGTTTAGCTAATGATACCCCATATCCCATGAGCTAAAAAAGACAATTTAATAGCCAAGCATCAAATTTTAGTTAAACAAATGCAGATAATGTTGTGAATGAGAAAATAAAATAGCATGGCTAAGGATCAGTTAAATGGAGTTCCTGATTGTATCCTGCTTCTGCGGTAACCATGTTCATAAACATGACTGTGGACACTTGTGAAATTCAAGTTGACCGCTTTAATTTTAGGTGAATTACACAACAGGCATGTTGCAGTCCAACACTGACAACGGCATAAATATATTCTAGGACTAGCAATGTTATGTGGATCAAAAATGAATCCGAGGTATTTTATTACAAATAAGTGCAGGAGGCTTAGAGAAGCACAAAATAAGTATGTGGCCTTTATTGTATTTGCAGGATTCTATAGATAGGTAAGATTGCATAACACAGGCTAAGACTTGTATGGCTATTTTTATACAAGAAATACATCTCAGATTTTCTTTTATATTGGCCATGAGAAGACTACATTTCCTCTTATTTTACGTTACGTGCTCAAGTCTCTGGAGTAGAACTTGAATTGCCAAACATTTATCCCTTAGCCAGTGCCATTGAAAACATAACTTCTAATCATTTATTCTATTATTCTAAAGGGATTAAGCTGTGTGCAAATTGGCTGTTGCTTTTCTGCTTTATAATACATAACTGCTCTTAGAAATACTTAATTATGACTTACTTTGTAAAATCCTGAGGATGTGGAGAGCATTAAATAAATGTAAACCATTGTTTGTATTGCTTCTTTTCTAACATTGTGTCTTGTGAACATTAAATATTCAACTTTATAATCTTGTTCATGGAAGATCCTTTCAGTTCCCGTCCGGTTTTCCTTACTGGATTGCACTAGATTTGCACCCTTTCAATCTTAGCTTTTACTATTTCCACAGGCCAAATAGAACTGTAAATCAGCAAATTTTCCTTTTATCTAATCTGGACAATAGCCATTCTTTTTAATCATACTTTGTTGTGTTTTTTGCCCATCAATCACTCTAAATCTTGAATTTTCTACCTTAAGTATAAGTCTATAAAAATTGTTTTGGGTCCTGCTTCATATATGCTCTCCTACATAATTGGTACCTATTTTTGCTGTTTAATTAAACAAAATAACATCTAATGGTGGAACTTTGCAAATGCAGTAGTAATGTGTAAAATGAGAAGACAGTGCTTAAAATGCTGTTGAAAGCTTGTTTTTTTTTGTCACATTTTGCTTATCCAAGTCAACTTTACATTAAGACTATTGAAATTGTAGCTCTATTAATGTACAATTCTGTGATTTTATCCATAAATGTTGTGCTGCACCCAATAATGTTGTTACTCCCTTGTTGCTGGGATTCCGTTTAGGCTTTTGTTTTATCTTCCTATCTCCTGAGGCTGATATATTTTCTTCACTATCTTCCTTTCATTCTTTTCAATCCTTCCTGCATATAGAAATGTTTAATTGGTGACTTAGCAAAGTTTCTACCCATATTTCAACTAATGCCTCTAGTTCCTGAATTGCATTTTTATGCCATCTTCATTAATATACATGCACCAGTCTTGTTTTCCTTTAGGTTTAACAATTTCTGCCAGTTGCCTCTCATCCCACCTGACTTTTTAAAAACTATCTGGTCCTGCTTAATCTTTTTCAATTTTTCTACCTCTGACCTAATTCATACTTAAACTTATTTTTCTTTCCAACTGCACTGTTTTTCTCTCCCTCTGCCATGTGCATTTCAGCCGTCACCTCAGTTTAATTAGCTGCCCACATAGTTAGTGTATGGGTTCCAGCTCTGTTCAAAGTGTGGGACAAATGATCAATACAGTTCTTACCCTGTCCTGGAACTGGTCCCAGTGTCCCAATAACTTCCATTGTTCTGCCCACATTACCAGTCATGTATTTATCTCCCTCATGTTCCTCTGCTGTATGGTCCTGAAAGTTCTAGGATTACTGCCTTTGGAGGTCCTGTTTCTTAAAATATGATGCAATTTTAGGAACGCTTGTTTTAACGTGGTCAAGCCTATTCAATGCTTGGTTAATTTATGAAGCCATCTAATTTTCCTAAGGTATCTAGCATTAACTATGTCTTTTATAATGATACCTTGGGCCCAAACTATTTAACAATAAAAAGTGTACGAGAGAAAGCAGCATCTGTGGAAAGAGAAACAGTTAACAGTTTGAGTCCAATGACTCTTCTTCAGAATTCATCATAAAATTGGGCAATCGTAATCACAGAAAATAGCTGCCTACACCCTAGTGTAAACTTCTTAATTATTGTTTTGGTTCTGCCCAGCTTCTCATCCTATTGGGTATCTAACTTTTCTAAGGTGCTGTGGCTCAGCTCGTAGCTGTCCTGCCTCAAGTTGTCTCGCATGAAACATGTCAGCGCTGAAAACTTTGTTGCCAAGAGCTCAGAGAACCTGCACTTCCTACTACTCCATCCCATGCTGTTTAATGATCGTTCTCATTCATTTTTTTCTGGTCTTGATCTTCTACCACTCATCCTATTTGTGAAGTGAAAATGGCTAGGGATCTGTGTTGCAGAAAGCTATCTGCCTCAAGATGTGAGGGAATTAGCTCCCTTTCTTTCTGAAGCTCTATATTTTGAGTGAATACAGCTGAAGACTTGAAAACATTCTTTAGCAAGTGTGCTTGACCAGACTTCTCAAACTATCCCATGAAAATTCACACCACACTTCTAATGCAGTCATCCTGACTTGCAGGAAAATTAGAAGCAACTAAATTGAAGTAGTGATAGGCTCTTGATTTAATACTAAAGACACATTTCTGCCGAATGAAAAGCTGATTAGGTTCAGCTGTTGGACTTCATGAGTTATTGACTGGGATAGGTTGTCATCATATATAGATCCTTTACGGAGACCAGAGAAGTGCCTCCTTTTGTAAACTACGTAAACATTATGAGTTGCCAATTTAAACCTGTCATTATTTTGTTTAATTATTTACCATTGTGATTCACTTAATCGGGATCTGTTGTCAGAAATTGAATGTTTGAACATTTTTTTTCCTGGTTGAATATAAGTAGATAGAGTTTATTTAATTATCAAATTGAAGCATGTAGATTAAATGTTTACAATTCTAAATAATAATTTTTCTTCAGCTTCCACTAATAATCTTGGGTAGACTATGTTAATAGCTTATTGGGTAAATTTAACAACAGCTTGCATTAATACAGTACCTTCAACAAAGTAATATATCCCATGGTATTTCACAGGGTCATTATTAAGTAATATTTGATGTTGTGCCAGATTATGAGATGTAAGGATAGAGACTGCAACAATGCACAGTTTTCATCCAATCTAAATTCAAAGATATATGTACAATGGTTTTCTTATGACCTACTTTTATACTGCTTTAACTTCCAAGTATTTTACTGGTGATGTGTCTATGCATTCTGAAGGCTGAACTGCAATTCTTGTATGTCTGTTATCACCATCACGATATTGGAATTGCATGGTGTCAAGTTGGAGAGACTGGTGAGGATTGCACAAATTTAGGCCCTGTTTGAGTTGCACTGAATTCTCTTTCTATTGCATGCCATAAAATAAGCTTTTTCTATATGCATGTACTATCATGAGGCTGCACGATGACCTAATTTGCATTCTTTATAGGTATTCATATTGCCAGTTACAATATAGCAATTATCAATGGTTGCTGTGTGGAAAATGATTTTTATTACAACATCAGGAGCATAAAACAGCTTTAGAACTCTGGTGGTGGGCAATGAGCTACTCCATTATGTTCACTGAGCAGTGTCGTGGGAGGAATGCTGGGAGAAAAGTTCGTTGCTGCTGGCCTGGTTAAACATAGTGAAAACGTAATTGGAAATCCACCCATAAGTAAGTAATTAATTATCAGATTTTGTTATGAGACTTTGGCACAGGATGTCATGAGGCTTCACCTTGCAAGAGTATGGAATTGAATTTAATACTAACCCAGACAGAGAGGATGGAAAGCATCTCTTGCCAAGGCTGGACATTGCTTGCTTGGGGTAATAGAAACTCCTGTAACTCAAGTCTGTAATATAACACCATCCGCAAGGAAAAATTTATTTTAAGCTTTCTTGTTCAAAGTGTACCCCTGCATCAGTTCAGGTTATGTTTTTATCCTGTTTAGTTTCTCAAATATACAAACAAACTGCAACAAGTACTCACCGAATCCAATGCCATCTGCAGGGAGAAAGACGATTAACATTGCTGGGGAGGCGATGGCCTGGTGGTGTTATCGCTGAACTGTTAATCCAGATCCCCAGATAACGTTCAGAGGACCCGAGTTCGAATCCCACCATGGCAGGTGGTGGAATTTGAATTCAATAAAATATCTGGAATTAAGAATATAATGATGACCGTGAATCCATTCTTGATTGTCAGAAAAACCCATCTGGTTCACTAATGCCCTTTAGGGAAGGAAACTGCCATCCTTACCTGGTCTGGCCTATATGTGACTCCAGGCCCACAGCAGTGTAGTTGACTCTGAACTGAACAATTGGGGATGGGCAATAAATGCTGCCTAACCAGTGACGCCCTCATCCCATTAATGAATATAAAAAAATTTCAATTTGATTAGCTCCCATTAGAACTTGACAAGAGTTATGTTTATAGAAATTCATGAAAAGTGAAATAGAAGTTCTATCACCAGAAAATATGTTAAACACATCTTAGGATGATGAAATAATAGGATGGAATTATGATGGCAACACTCAAGAAGGAGAAACATGTGAGATGTTTTTGGGACTATACTTCATTTTAATGTGCTTGGAGTGGTGGGGGATACATTGACTGTTCTGTCTTCATTGCATGCCCTTCTTCATGACTTGAAATTGGTGATTGTGGAAGTAAATATGGTCTACAATTCTAACACCTTGTTAGCAGATTAGTGATGAAGAGGGAAAAGGGTTTTGCTACCGTGGTTTTTAATTATCCAAGTTGCCAGGAGGGCAGAGTGGACTTCTTTGTCATGTAGTACCAGGGAAATGTATAGGCAGCTGACTGAAAATTAATCAGTGTTTACCAACATGTCTGCAGGGACCTAAACATTATTACTGATTTAGACTTGAATAAACAGGCTATTCACCACATCGGCAGTTTTGCGATGGAGTGAGTGTTAACTTTCAGGACTGAATATGGCTAGTGCTGCTTGTAATGAGCTAGGAAGGTGAGTTATGAGATATAAAATTCGTTAGCATTAATTATTATAAGTCTTTCACATTCCAGAATGCTGACACATTAGAGTATATTAACAGGCTTTCTTCAGGCACAATTCAGATTTGCTGACTGAAGCTTGTCCTTTTGTTCTCAGTTGGGAGAGCTTATGTTATAAGCATGCTACAAAGTTCTGCTTTTCATGAATTGTTATCATGAGAGACTACCTGTTTCTGCATAATACCTTCTGTTGTTTGTGGCAGTCCCAGCTTGCTAACTGGGTTAGATTTTGAACAAATTTACAACTCAAGTCTGGACCTCCATGAGGCACTGTGGGTTATCACCAGCAGTAGAACTGTATTCAACCACAATATGTAACCTTGTGGCCTGGCATATCCCCCACTCTACCATGAGCACTGAGTCAGGGAATCAACCCTGGTTCAACGAAGAATGCAAAAGGGTAGCTCGGAGCAGTACTGACAGACCAGAAATGAGCTATCAGCTTGGTTCAGCTTGAACACCAAATACTTGATACTGCACAGGAAAAGTGACCTTCGACATAGAGGGTGAAGTGATCCTAATGGATCAAATTGAAAACTCCAGTGCTGTTATATTTAGTTACAACTGATAGTAGATAATTAAACAACAGGAGGAGGAAGGTCCCTAAATATCCCCTGCTCAATGATGTGGGACTCCAGCTCATCAGCACAAAATATAAGGCAAAAATATTTACAACCAACTTCAGACAGAAGTGCCAAATGAATGATCCACCCTTCTCCTGAATTTCTAGTATCATGGATGCCAGTCTTTAACCAATTCACTTCACTCCACATGATATTAAGAAAAGCTGATGCTGCAAATTTTGCATAGACCTGTGCACCTTGACAACAGTTTGACAGTAGTACTGATGACTTGTTCTCCAGAATAGTTGCACCTCTATCCATGCTGTTCCAGTACATATGGAGTACTGATATTTGCTCAGCAATGTGGAAAATTGCCCAGGTACGTCTTGTTCACAAAAAGCAGAACGAGTCCAACTCAGACAAGTTACCCACCCATCATTCCACTCCCATTCATCAGCAAAGTGACGGAAATGTCATTGCTAGTGCTATCAAGCAGGCTAACTCAGCATTAATATGCTCGTTTGGCACTCAGTTTGGGCTTCCACAAGGGCATGAAGAAGCCCTAGCAAAACTAGCAGCACCAGGGTTATCTGGAGGTCAACTCTCCACTGTTTAGAGTCATACTTGCCTCAAAAGATGATGGTTGTGGTTGTTAGAGGCCAGTCATCCCAGCATCAGTACAGTACTGCAGGAGTTTCTTAAGGTTGTGACCTAGATCCAGATAATTCCAGCTTTTCAACTATGACGTTCACTCCATCATAGTTTGAGGTAGTAATGTGCAATTATCTGCAAATAATGTTCACTCTTTTTGTGACTGTTCTGAGTATGAAGCAGTCCACGTCCACATGCTTCATGACCTGGGACAGTTTTTAGGCCTAGGATGATGAATAGAAAGTAACATTCATGCTACACAAGTGCGAGGCAATGACTGTCTTCAACAGATGAGGATCTAACCATCTTCCTTTGGCATTCAAAGGCACTGAAAATCCCACTGTCAACATTCTGATGGTTACCGTTGACCAGAAACTAAACAGGACTGTGACTACAAGAGGTCAGGATTTCTGCTGTGTGTAATTCAGCACCCGTCTCCCCAGTGGCTGTCCACCATTTACAAGGCAAAAGTCAGGAGTATGTTAAAATAATCTTCACTTGCTGAGATGAGTGCAGCTCCAACAACTTGTGAAGGTGAACATCAACCAGGACAGGCAGCCCTCTTGATTGGCACACCATCTACCATGTTCTACATTTACTCCCTCCACCTCAATGCACAGTAATAGCGGTGTGTAGCATCTACAAGCCACACTACAACAACATGCCAAGGCTCCTTTGACATCTCCTTTCTGAACGAGGAGCATCACCTTACAAGGCATGCACAACCATGACTTGGAACTGTATCAGTGTTGCTTAGTCAAAATCCTGGAGCGCCCATCCTCATATCAGTATGGATGTATTTAATCATGAAGACTACAGAGGTTCAAGAAAACAGTGCTCACCACCATTCTCAAAGAAAATTATGGATGTGCAGAAAGTGTTGGACTAGCCAGCAGCACTTATTAAATGATTATTTTTTTAAAAAAGATTCAATTAAACTGTTCCCTCTCTGCAGCATTTTGTTTTGTTATTTCCTGCTTAGTGCCATTACTTAAAATTCTGTTTTTCTGTGTAGGCTTGCCTTTGTCAAGTTACTATCTGCATGGCAATTTTTTTTTTACTGCAACTGTCTGTGTATACATACCTGGTGTGTGCATATTCATATAAAATGGATTTTGTTGCTGTCTTGGGCAATATAATGAACATCTTCCTGAAACAAGTAGCAGTCGTTGTACAGTGTAACACATCTTCCATCAATTTATCTTGAGTTCTTAATATCTATTATATCATCCTGTTGTGACTTCAGACCTGCTGCATTTTTACCACCCAAAGTGAAAATAATAAGTGGTGTGATTATTACTTATCATTGTTCAGTAATACTGTTTGTGTAAAGAATATTTACCTATCAGATTCAGTAATTGATGAATGTTCAGACCATGTGTTTCTATTGCCATACTTGCCAGCCAGGATTGTCCACCCATTTGCTTTGTTAAATAGAACATTGTGGACTCAGACACAGATGTGGAAAACCTTAATCTATCTTCTGTGACTGTATGACACTTTTTTTTATTAAAACAACAATGGCAGCCAAATCAGTTATTTATGATGAGTAATGTCAGATGATTTGGTTGGGCTTTTCTTTGTTAGTCTTCCAGCTTTCAATTAAAATATTATAAAATGTAATCTTTATATTGTTCAAGGGATGTGGGGGATTGCAGTTATCATAGTCTATTCCCACTTAGGGCCAAGAAGATGGTGCTGGTGAGCTACCTTCTTGAACAATTGTAGTTCATGTTGTAAGAATACCCACAGTGTTCATGATAAGGAATTCTGTGATCCTAATCTATTGACATTAAATGAATGGGATTATTTCTCCATGTCTAAATAGTATCCAGCTAGGAGGAAACAGGCAGGTAGTGCCATGCACCCCCCAGCCCTTGTTCTTCTAAATGGTACAGATTGTGGATTTCGAAAGTACTGTTAGAGAAGCCTTGGTGTTTCGCTGCAGTGCATCTTCTTGATAGCACGCTACATGGCCTTAATCTTCCAGTGGTGGACAGTGTCACTGTTTAAGCTGGTAGCTGGGGTGATGTCAAGTAAGCTTCTTTTGTCCTGGCTTGAGTGTTCTTGGAGCTGCATTCATCTCATGTATGTCCTACAGGTATTGTGATGTGTCTAGTGTGTGGGTGAAGAGAGTTGCTATGCTCCGTTGCTAGCAGCAACATGAAAATGGCAGCCTAATGTGTAAGTCTGTCCTCGTTGGTGTAGAGCCATGCAAGTCCTCAACTATGCCTCCTCCTGACGAGACAGAAAAATTTGGGCCCTTGTGTTTGGCTTCAGACATGCCATCTCACCAAAGCATCAAGCCACGTGAGTAGAGGTAGTCTATTTTAATTGCTGGAGAACATTGGCTGCCCCTTGTTTTGCTTGCGGAAATGCTCAGTGTGATCTCCTCATGAAGACCTGATACATTAGGCCAGCTGA